AAATGTGTAGCTCACCTCTAAAAATACTACACAAACTTATGATGATTTTGGTATACTTAGCTTGTTTTATTTTCTATCATTATTTTCTCTTGTACCAGATAGTCTCATCAATTTTTTTTTTTTTGAGATGGAGTTTTGCTCCTTACCCAGGCTGGAGTGCAATGGCGCGACCTCGGCTCACCGCAACCTCCGCCTCCTGGGTTCAGGCAATTCTCCTGCCTCAGCCTCCTGAGTAGTTGGGATTACAGGCACGCGCCACCATGCGCAGCCAATTTTTTGTAGTTTTTAGTAGAGACGGGCTTTCACCGTGTTGACCAGGATGGTCTCGATCTCTTGACCTCCCAAAGTGCTGGGATTACAGGCGTGAGCCACCGCGCCCGGCCTTATGTTTTTTTTTTAACCTCCTAGTGGAAGGTTTGGCTACGTAAAATGTGTTTCATAAAGTTCGACTCTGAAGCATAATGCCAGTAGCACAGTTGCCCCCTATTAAGCTATGAGTGTGCAGCTTTTTGTAACCCTGGATATACTGAACTTAATGTGAGAGGCATATTCATCTGAGACTTGCAAGGGTTGGACAGTACCCTATCTAAATATTCTTTACTGGGTCAGTGAGTGATCTCTAGCTGACAAGTGTTGGCTGATGTCAGCTAACTACAAAGAATTGTCTTTGTCTGACAGAAGTATGCCCAATAAAATGTATGCATCTGAATCACTGTCTTAAACTCCACTTGTAGAAAATTCACACTATGAGACTCTTATTATGAAAATAAACGTTTTTCTGAAATTCTTAATATATATTTTTAATCAATATAAAAGTTTTTTTTTTCTTTTTGGGCTAGTGTTGCAGATTTTTTTTCACCGAGCATTCTCTCTTTGTCTCTCTCTCCCTCTCTTTCACTCTCTCTTTCTTAGTATGTCTGTCAGCTAGAAGTTATCAGTCTGTCATTGGTCAGGGATGATTTTAGCAGATAAGGGCATTATCATAACTGGTTTTGTTTTGTCAACAGTTTGAGTAGCTGTAAATTAGATAATAGAAATATTGGTCCAAGGTCACACATTCAGTAAGTGGTGGAGTTGATTGCAGTCTGGTCTATCTGACTCTAGAGTAATGAAACTCTTTTTTTAAGTCAGAGTCTTACTTCTTCACCCAGGCTGGAGTGCAGTGGTGCCATCTCAGCTCACTGTAACCTCCCCCTCCTGGGTTCAAACAGTTTTCTGCCTCAGCCTCCTGAATAGCTGGGATTACAGGCTCCCACCACCACACCTGGCTAATTTTTGTATTTTAGTAGAGATGGCATTTCAACACCTTGGACAGGCTGGTCTTGAACTCCTGACCACATGATCCACCCACCTTGGCCTCCCAAAGTGCTGCGATTACAGGCATGAGCCACCGTGCCCAGCCAAGAGTAAGGGAACTCTTAACTGCTAAGCTACACTGCCTCCTCTTAGAATTTTGGGAGCCCAGTGTTGATGAGCAGTAGGACGTATCACCAGCGCCCTCATCGTCCAATTAGATGCTGATCAAATATCCTTTTCAAATATTCAGGCACAGGGAATTGGGCAAATTATATATGTAGAGCAAATGTATATGAATATGCTTTATACGTCT